GGCGTATGCTTGTGTGTGCACATGTGTGGTGTATGCTTGTGTGTGCACATGTGTGGTGTGTGCATGTATGTGCATGTGTGTGGTGTATGCTTCGTGAACGTGTGTGGTGTATGCTTGTGTGTGCACATGTGTGGTGTATGTTTGTGTGTGCACGTGTGTGGTGTGTGCATGTGTGTGCGTGTGTGTGGCGTGTGCATGTGTGTGCACATGTGTGGTATGTACATGTGTATGCACATGTGTGGTGTGTGCATGTGTGTGCACGTGTGTGGTGGCATATGTACCCTTGCTTGTGCATGCCAAATCCAAAGAAGAATTCTGCCGTCACTTGGCGTTACTCTCACTGAACCTTAACCTGGCTGTTCTGGCTAGGCTGGGAGCCAGCTCACAGGCCACCTTCTCTGTCTCCCAGTGCCAGGGTTACAGCATTTGGAACCATGCCTGGCTGATGTGGGGATTCACACTCAGGTCCTCTTGCTTACAGCATACAAGCTCTATCCCACCAAACTACCTTCCTAGCCCCAAATAACACATTTTTTGAGGTAAATGCCAATGAGATGCTGTGTTTAATTATTAAACATTACTAATTCATCATTCTGAGGGCTTTTTTATTATTTCAATGTCTCTGAAATCATGAACTGATACATCATATTGTAAATGGCACGATCTTTCTCTTTCAGGGGCTTATCATATAATGATATGTCTCACAAGTGACGACTTCTTGGATTCAATGAAAATCAGTTTTTATTTATTTAGAGACAGGGTTTCTCTACGTTGTCCTGGCTGGCCTCAAACTCATTATGTAGACCAGACTGGTCTTGAACTCACAGAGATACACCTGCTGGGATTAAAGGAATGTAAAACCAGGTCTAGTCTTAAAATCAATTATTTTAGTCAGGTGTAGTGGCACACACCTTTAATCTCAGCATTCTGGAGGCAGAGACAAGTGGATCTCTGTGAGTTTGAGGTCAGCCTGGTCTACAGAGTGAGTTCCAGGATAGCCAGGTCTACACAGAGAAGCAACTGTCTCAAAAAACCAAAAACAAGAAAAAAACAAACAAAACAAAACAAAAAAACCACCAAATCAGTTTGGTTTTTTTTGTTTTTTTTTTTTTTTTT